ACTAACAGGCTAGCTGCTTGACAAGCAGTAGGGGTTGATGCCTAGAGTGAGTTTGTGCCACTCTGGAGATAGCGATGCTTAAAGCCCACTGTTAAAGTCTGGCGAGAGACCCTTCTAAGACTGCACTGGACTGGTTCCAAGCTGTGGGGGGTCCATGGTTTGGCTGGATATAGTGGATAGGAGGTGGGGAAATCCTCTGATCTATCTATGCTTCAGATTCCTAGCTTGTGAATCTAGTTTTACCTCTGCAGATGAATTGTGCTTCATCTAGCCAGGCTAGACCAAGGGGCAGGAGCAGAATCTGTCATCCAGCCTGAGCTTTCAGCTGTCTTGAAGCTATTTTCACAACAGATCAAGTGGGGCTGCAGTAAGTACCCCAGTCAGTTCTTTCCTTGGAGACCATAGGAGGACAGAGCAGCATGGATATTTTTTTTTGGGGGGGGGTCCGGTTGTGGGGCCTGAACTCTGGGCCTGGGCTCTGTCCCTCAGCTCTTCAGCTCAAGGCTAGCGCTCTACCACTTGAGCCACAGCGCCACTTCCGGCTTTTTTTTTGCTTACGTGGTGCTGAGGAATGGAACCCAGGGCCTCATGCATTGCAAGGCAAGCGCTCTACCACTGAGCCACCTTCCCAGCCCCTGGATATTCTTTTTTTTTCTTTTTCTTTTTTAAATTGTCAGTCATGGGGCTTGAACTCTGGGCCTGCGTGCTGTTCCTTAGCTCTTCAGCTCAAGGCAAGCACTCTACCAGTTGAGCTATGGTGCCACTTCCCGTCTTCTGGTGGTTTATTGGAGATAGGAGTCTCACAGTCTTTCCTGACTGGGCTGGCTTTGAACCGCGATCCTCAGGTTGATACCTGTAATCCTAGCTACTCAGGAAGCTGAGATCTGAGTAAGATGTGGTGGGTCATTCTTTTTTAAAATGTCTCTGAGTGCCAGGCGCCGGTCGCTCACGCCTGTAATCCTAGCTACCCAGGAGGCTGAGATCTGAGGATTGTGATTCAGAGCCAGCTCAGGCAAGAAAGTCTGTGAGACTCTTATCTCCAATAAACCACCAGAAAACCGGAAGTGGCGCTGTAGCTAAAGAGCTGAGGGACAGTGCCCAGGCCCAGCTTTTTTTTTTTGGTCGGTGTGGGGCTTGAACTCTGGGCCTGAGCGTTGTCCCTCAGCTCGTCAGCTCAAGGCTAGCGCTCTACCACTTGAGCTACAGTGCCACTTCCGGTTTTCTGATGGTTTATTGGAGATAAGAGTTTCACTGACTTTGAACCGTGATCCTCAGATCTCAGCCTCCTGAGTAGCTAGGATTACAGGCGTGAGCCACCCGTGCTCTCGGCTTCCAGGCCTAGCTTTCAAGCCACACAACCAAAAAAAAAACAAAAACAAAAACAGTCTCTGAGTTATAGGTGGTCCTAAGAACCACCTCTGTGGGTCCAGAGTGTTCCCTGTCACTGGGCACGAGTGGCTCACTCCTATAACCCTAGCTACTCAGGAGGCTGAAATACAAGGATCGCAGTTCAAAGTCTGCCCAGGCAGGAAAGTCTGTGAGACTTTTTATCTCCAGTTAACAACCAAAAAGCCAGAAATAGGACTGTAGCTTAAGTGGTAAAACACTAGCCTTGAGCTTTTGAAAAAGCTAAGTGACAGGGCTGGGAAGGTGGCTCAGTGGTAGAGCGCTTGCCTTGCATGCCTGAGGCCCTGGGTTCGATTCCTCAGCACCACATAAGCAAAAAG